GAGTCTAATTCAGATAAAGTGAGAAACTTTTACAAAAAAGAACGAGAACAGTTAAAGTCATGAACTTATACAACTTTTGAATAAAATATTTCCAAATTTAAAAATAACATATAAATATTTTTAAATAAAGACATCACTAAAGATGAATTTAAATAATTTCAGCACTTATAAAAATAAAATCTTAGGTTAGCCAGAATATTTTGTATAGAACATTTCGAATACTAAAAAAACTTTTCAGGGCTCAGTATGAAATTATATTTTATTTTTTTAGTAATACTAAGTTTATGTAAACCTAGAATGTTGTTTTTATCAAATATTAAAACCAATTAAAATATTTTGCTTTTACTGCAAAAAATATTCAAAGCAACCCCATTTGCGAGATAACTTTGAATGATTAAGTAAATAAATATTATTCCTAATCCTTTGACTTAAACATTATTTTAAAGTTGTGTTTTTTAAGAGCCTGTCATAGCTCTTATATGCATAATAAAATAATTCAAATATTGTCAATAGTGAAAGAAGGGCATATAAAAATGTGTCTTTTAAAATTTTATATATTCCTTCTTCTCTCTGATTATCAAACCTTTGTTTTTATTGATAGTTAATTTTTGAAAATAAAAAATGCGCTTTTTCTCCTTTCATCAATTGCTGCTTTGCTGTCTTCATTAAGTTTTGAACAGCTGTAAATTTACATGTTACAACTAAGTTGTAAACTGAACTTTGCTATCTTCATTAAGTTTTAAACTGAACGTCGTTTTCTTGATTTCATTTTAAACTGAACTGTGCTGTCTTCGTTACGTGTTGAAGTGCAGTGTTTGCTGTCATCATGAAGTTTTAAACTGAACCTTGATGTTTTTATAAAGTTATAAACTGAATTAAGCTGTCTTCATTTAGTTTTAAATTGAACTTTGCTGTATTCATTAAGTTTTAAACTACATTTTTTAATATCTTGATTTCTTTGTTTAGCTCTTATAATTTTGGCAGTTTTCTCAGATTCTTTGACAATTTAAAAAAATTCTTTTAATCAGCTGTTAATATTATTTTCTTCAATGAGCACTTTTGGTAGATCTCTTGTTCAAACGATTTGATGTATTATATACAATAAATTTCTTTTACTTTTTATATAAAGGTGTTTAATCGAGGAAAAAAAGTCAGCATGGTTTTTATCAATACTGTGTTTATGTGTAAAGTTCACAGTTCGGCTAAACTAAAGTCTTTCTTTAAAACCGCTTGTCATAACGTCCATTGCTCTTCTTTTTTTTTGAAAACTTATTAAAATATTATTTACTGCATTTTAATTTTTTGTTTTCGCAGTTTGGTACGCAACAACTCGAGCTGTAATGTCAAAAAAATGTCTAAGACCTTCGACGTTTTTTTATTTGTTTACTTCTTTTTGCCACCCATCATGGCGGATAGAAAATTTTGCGGACGTTTGGCACTCAGATGAATATCATGAATATAGTAACTGTAGTTCCAAGTTTTATAATAGCACTTAAAAATTGTATTATAGTGTGTTGGTTTTTGCAAAGAAACGCTATATAAATCATTTTTTAATTTTAATACTAATTTTTTTTTTAATTTTGTTGCGCTTAACCGTCTCTATATAAACAATCTATATAAATAAACATATATTCTATTCGTATATATATATATATATATACATATATATATAAATATATATATATATATATATATTTATATATATATATATATATATATATATATATATATATATATATATATATATATATATATATATATATATATATATATATATATATATATATATATATATATATATATATATATATATTGTTTATAAAATGTAAAAAATCCACTTATATAACGTTTTATTCAGGATCGTATGTAATATAAGTAAATTTTTCTAACAATTACAAGTTTTTTTGCTCAAGCTGTTTTGTTTTGATTTTTTGCAGTTATGTTAATATATTTAAAAAAATTGACAAGATTAAAAAAATACGAAACATATTGTCACTTCCGAATGAAAAATTTGAAACTTCAACTTTAGATTTGCTCCTCTCTCGATAATTTCTGATTTCTACAGTTGTGTCATCTGCTTCTTAGACCTTTAAAAATGATAGTCATATAAATAAGATTTTATTTCAATTTTTTATAAAAACTCTATCAATTAAAGATATATGGAATATATTTTTATGGGGAATGGGGGTTGAATTTGGTTGGGACGAGCAGGATTTTATGACGTTTTTTTAAAGGGGTATAGGGAAAAAGAACAACCGTTGATAAAGGAAGGGGGGGGGATCAAAAGCTGGCTAAAAATAATGACGTCCTTTATGGATGGCTTCAAAACTATTTATTTATTACTATTGTAATAAATACAATCTCTTATCCGTGATAATGATATATCTGTGCCAGTTTTATATATTTTAATGCATTTGTATGCAACATAATAAAAATTAATAAAAAAATGTAAGATAAGTGCAAAAAGAAACTTTACGCATAAAGGTTTTTTTTGCCACAAACTGATTTCAATGCGCAAAATCTTTTTGACTTAACTTTTAGATTAGCGTTTAATAATATTTTTTAGTTCCTAATCATAATCATAAGAATGAATTTTTTTTAATGACTATGTTTTAGTGCTCTAAAATCTTCTTAGTTCCATTTGTATAACGTTACATACAAACGTCTATAAGTGTAAATATCTTTAGATATGTTGAGTTTCCAGGCATTATATGGAATTATTGCGTCCATCTATATATCTATAAAATGAGAAAATTTTAAAACTTTATTTAAAATTTTAGAAATCTTTTTTTGCTATATTACTTTTTTTTTGCTATAAATATATAAGCAAGATTAAAAAATTTTTAAAACTTATTTTATTACCCACTAAGCTATCAATGAGCAGAAAAACAAAGCTAATTATAAGTATCTTATAAGCTCTACGTATGCGGAAAAGGTGCGCATGTTTAGTTTTTTGCTCTTAAATTTTTGTCAGAATAAATTATTTTACCAAAAAATATCGAAGTAAATAAAAAACAGGTTTAGAAATTTCGGCTAGAAATAGATATGTAAATTGGTAAAGACCTGTATTTTAAGGATCCGGAAAGCTAGAATATATAAGAGAAATGTTCGGTTTGGATTAGATATACAAAGACCAGTATTTTTACGGGGTCGATCTCAGCATTTTTCATGCCATTATTTAATTTAATTTTGTTTTATTTTAGACATCTTACAATGCTTTTTTTTAGCATTTTGCAGATCGAATAGAGAGCCCACTTTCCCCACAATGTGTGGGTTTAAATTTAGGGCAAAAGCATCCCCCACCTTTATATATATACATATGTTAAGGAGGAGAGTGAGTAGTAGATACAAAAAACAATGCGTCTATAATTAGTTTTTATGTAGTTGGTTATTCTACCAATTTAACCAAATATTGGTTAATCTACGAACCTTTTCAAAAAAATCATTTTTTCAATTATAATTTTTTTAAGGAATATAGCTATCGTAAATTACGAATTTCAAGTTAGTTTTATGAGAAAAAATAGCTAACACCATTAAAAACTATTTTTTAATAAAGCGGTATAAGTAATTTTTTATTTTTCCATAGCAGCGCTTTGCTTATTCCGTTGCTATACAACTAAAAAGGAAGTTGAATCATAATTATA